TTTTTTTTTTTGACTCCTTGCTTTCGATGCGCAGAAATTTTATTTCTCTAATATATAAAGAAGCTAGCTTGAGCCTATCCCTTTCAATATTTGTCAAAACTATAGTACAATTGAGATTATAGCTAAAAGGATAATTAGATATGATGGTCAGTAGTTTGCAGGATACTACATCTCTAAAATTTTAATATGGCCGCTTGCGCTGTTTTATTATTACTAGCCGTGCATAGAGCAGAAAACCAAGATTTTTGCCTCCTAATTTCATATTTCTAGAGCTGCATTATTTGGACAGACACACATATGCTGGTGTGCATTTCTCACTTGCATTTGCAAAAGCAGGAAAAATCTTTCCAATTTGAAACCAGACCATAGATCCCCTCTGAATTGCTGTGTCGAACCTTTAAAAACGACAAATTTGAAATGCAGATATGTGTTCAAATGGATCAGAGCTGTGGCCAAGTGACGCTTCTGGCGCAAACTGCCTGTCCAAAGCAGTTTTCGTTCGATGGCGTCTATTATATGGATGCCACTGCCGAGCAAATCTATAACGATATTGTTTATCCACTTGTTGAAGTGAGTGCACATATTACTGCAGTAATTTCATTTGCCTTTCTGGCATCAGAAACAAAAATCATGGCAGTACTTATATGTGACAAAAGTTTTGAATGTCTGAATTTTATATTATCTTTTTTCTTTATATTATTAATCCAAAAATAAGTGAGCAAATGTTTTTGATTATCTGTAAGTCCCATTAATAAGAAGCTAAACATAGTGAATAGCCTGAAGTTCCTTAAAATGAAGGATATTAACAGTGCTGGCGAACAGCTTTTATGCGTTTTGTGCTACACAATAGCAGAGTAAAACGCTTTTTGTTACGCCCTGTCCGTATGTGTGTTTGTGTGTGTATGTCTGCAAGTGCGTATTACAAAAGCTACAACGCTGGAAATTGAGTAGAATGTTCACTGATTACGTGCGACCCCACAAATTTAAATTCGGCCTTCACATACCCCTGAGTACCACAAACGCGCCGAAAAAATTTTGGCCGGAAAATTATTTTCGCGACTATAAGGAGCTGAAATTTTAGGGTAGTGTCTCCTTGCCCAATTACGACCCTGCAAGCCTGAATTCAGCTTTCTCGTCCGTCTGGACACCACATGCGGTCCCCGAAAGTTTTGGCGGGAAAGATCATTATCTCGGGAACCAGTAGGAGACAGCGATTTTAGGAAAATGCTTTTTGCCTGTGCAGGGACGTCAAAAACTCAAATTTACCTCCCAATTATGTCGAGGTCTCACATAAGGTCACGTGAAAGATTTGGCACGACAGTCACTGGTTCTAAGGCCAGAAAATCAGGAGCTGAAATTTTAGGAGAATGTTCCTTGTCCTGCACGATTAGTGCGTTTACGTTCACATACAGGCACGCAATATTTATTGGGAAATTTCGCAGTTTAAGAACCAGACGACACATCGATTATTTTTACACGCACGGAATTGTAAAGCAGTGAAAATTCTTGACTGGCAAACGTCCACTGGATGAGGCTACGCAAAAAGCACTAGCTACCTAGTGCGCACTATTAATTT